TCTACCTTTTGAACACGTCCAAAAGGTGGAAACCGCCTGAACAGTAATAAATTCACAAAACGGCCAAACAAAAAAGTCAAAAAAACAGTCAAAAAACAGTCAAAAACTGTCAAAAAAAAAACAGTCAAAGGCCTGTCAAAAAACAGTCAAAAACAGTAAAAAGACTGTCAAAAGACTGTCAAAAAACAGTTAAAAACAGTAAAAAAACCTGTCAAATGAAAAGACTGTTAATTGACAAGCAGTTGGGAAAAAGACAGTCAAAAAGAGAAGTCAAAACAGTCGCAAAAACAGTCACAAACCTAGCTTGAATCCCTGGCTCGAATGTTGGCATCCTCGATTACCAGAGCTGTACACTAGCTACTTTCGTAGGGTCAGGTGTTGGTGAGGTCACTGAGTGTGACATATTATAATTAGTTGACCTCCAAAAGGGAGGCAGCCGTCATGGCTGACCCTTCGGTCAAATCAAAAAGTCATTAAAAGTTTAATGATACCCACCATCAAAACTCAGTAATTTTGTCCTCACCATATGAAGGCTTCAATCACATTAACAAAAAACTGTTAGATCATAATTTATGTGTTATTGGACTAACTCGTCCGGCTCGGCTTTCTCAAAAGCAATACCATTTAATAGACATCCTGTGGTGAATCGAACCGTGATAGCCTGAAAACCAGTGCCAGAGCCTGTGTGTATTATTGGTCAGCGGGTTCGTACAGTAGCAGACACGATGAGAGGAGAGTAAAAATTTAAAGAAAGAAAAGAACTGTAAAAAAATGCCACGATATGACCTGGTGCTCATCTCTAGGATATTAAACAGGGTGAGTAGACTGTTCATCTTGTTAAATATCATTCAATGAACCCACACGTTTGGGAATCAAGGCGAATTTTGGCTTCAAAAGATATAACACGTTCCTCATCAAATCACAATTTATCAGAATTTTTTGTCAAAAAAAGTTGGGAATGAGTTAAGCTTTTAGTGTGTACTCAGTTTGTTGTGAAGTCTGGGCTCACACTCTGGGAGGTGGGAAATTATAGAGTTATTGAGTTGCTGTGCTCTGTATATAACAACCCTTACTGTGTGGTATGTCTTGTAGCTCCAAATTCTGGATCATTCTACCTAGCTAGCTAATATATAGGGAAAAGGAAGACCATACATTACAGTCTTGCAAGTAATGATAAAAAGGTAAATTATACACTGTGAAAAGATGAAAAAACTTACTGACTTCTCGGGCACTACATGTAGTCCTTTGTCAGAGTAAGAGGTGGTAGAAAGGAGTGTTTGTTTATATGGTAGAATAAGACAAAAGAAACCAATGAGAACAAGGTAGGCAAGGAAACAAAAACAAACAATAAGAAGACAAAAGAAAGGGTTAGTTGAAAGCAAAGTATTCATTAATCCCATTGGGACTAAGAGTGCCAAAGTAAAGTAAGTCAAATGTAAGATTTTAATCAAGTAACAACCTTTGAAAAATTAGCGAATGGGGGGTGGGGGGTAATCTACTATATTCACTTTATGTGTATGTGCTGCCAAACAAGGTATGTTTTCAGCTTTTCTACCTTGGAAAAGGGTATATGAAATCGTGCTCGCTCTCTGGAACAGGATATATGAAATCAAGCTCTTTCTCTGAAACAGGGTAACTACTTTTGCAAGTACTGGAACATTTTTTTTAGAGGCAAAAGGGTAAGATTTTCAGAGATTTTACTCTTGAACAGGGTCAGGGTTCAGAGGGCTCAGCAGCACATCCCTACCCTAAACAAGCAAGAGTACTTCTTTCCCCGGGTTCAATCTCTATTGTGACCTTGAGTGAACTTGACATGATATATAATATCTGCAGAAAACCTACACATAATACATTTATTGTGTCAAGTTCATTCAATATCAGGGATTGGCTAAGGGCTCTCAGCCAATGAAAAGCGAGATTAATTGAAAGTAGGATAAAAACAAATCATTGAAATATTTATTGAGAAACTTTTAATTATTTATTAAAGTGCTACTCTGACGAAAATCGCTCAAACTTGTATTCAGCTGAAACTTCCTAAGAATACTCTTTAAAGGTCCAACGATCACTGTATGAGGTGTTTTCTCGATATTCAGGACGAAAGTATGATATTTTTACAATTATTTTTTGGAGTCTGTGACGTCATACACTCAACATCAATTATCGCTCCATACATTTCTTTGTAGTTTATGATCAAAATATTAGTAGTAAAGGGAGAAAGAAATACCCAAACACCCCAAAATATATATTATAGTCACAAGTAATGTGAAATAAGCACATTAGCCACCCTTTGAGCTTCATAGGAATAAAATAAATTCACTTCATACAGTGATTATTGGACCTTTAAAGAGTATTCTTAGGAAATTTAAGCTGAATCCAAGTTTGAGCGATTTTCATCAGAGTAGCACTTTACATGTAAGTGTTAGCAGTGAGAGCAATCACCTCTCATCAATGCAACCCTGGTTCAATTCCCTCCAGACTGGGTGTAATAATAATATATGAAAATAGATTATAAAAGTATAAATGATAAAATATAAATCAGGTTAATGTATATTTATTTACCTATTACGCATGTTCTCGTAAAAAGAATATATGAATTTGTGAAGGTAACTAAAGAAATTGTGTTTGAAAACTTAAATTGTACATACTTGTTGTATGTGAGTAGAGTTAATTCTAGTTTTTTGCTACTATGCTTTGAGAGTTTTTCTTCAGGTTCTCTGGATTTCCTCTCTCCACAAAATCAACTCTAAATTCCAATTCGATCATGGAATGAGGGCCACAGATTTGTTAGCCACTTGCTATTAATTGCTTCCCTCAAAAAAACAAGAACGATTTTATTAATTCTTTTATTTTTTTCAAGAAACTTTCTTTGTCATCCCCGTGGAACACTTTAAAACTAGATACCTACTTTGTAGTCTTGGCGGAATAATTATTTTTGTGGTTAGTCCATCGATAGACAGCTAGCCATATTGCTATCGTGTAGCATGAACCACTTAGCTTCCCCTAAATGGATATATATTTGCACTTCAGTATATAAATGTTTTAGGAGACAAATGCACTGCAATGCTAACTCAAAACCCAGATTTTTCCCTCACCTCAGAAAGGCTAATGACTAGTAAACAGTTTTCAAATTATCTTGATTCAGCCTTGATTTGATTTCTTATAGGAAGGCTATGTAAACCTGTTACGTCAAACATGTAAAAGCATCATGGACAAGGGAGGTGTTGTACGTAAATTGGAAAACCTAGGGCAGCAAAAGTTACCTTACAGAATGAGAGCACATGCAGACTGGCATAACCATGGCAGGTACTTTCCAAATATTATTTTACCACAAGTTGTTAATTTCTCACACACTGATTGGCTATTAAGCAGATATCAACATAAAGCATGCATGAAAAAATGCCTGTTAGTGAATTTTTTGAGGTAAAAACAAATCAAGGTCCTTTTTCTCAGGGTCCGAAATTAGCAGTCATCCAGTCGTCAGGGACGACTAAAATTTTTCAAATGACAACTAGATTTTGGAATGTGGTTGTCCTTCTCATGACCTACATTTTTGCCATGGTGTTTTCTTTTATAAAAATATAAAAGAGTCAGTAAAGTCCGAATGCAAGTCTAATTTATATTTTGTTCTGCTAAAAACCTAGAAAGTTCATTTTTCAACTGATAAACTTTCAAAAATTCAAGATAATGCATTCGTTGGAAGGCATTGAATATCGCTGACAAATTCGATTGCATCTTCTGCATTATAGCTAACTGCTGACCATTGTCATTCAGGCTCTACAAAATGGCGTCGATGTGGGACTCCTAAGTTTTGCTTTGGACGCCTAAGAATTAGAACATGGTTGTCCAAAGGACCACTTAGCTCAAAAGTTAATTTCGGACCCTGTTTTCTATGGTCTGGTCATACCTTGTAAAGATTGCCAAAACTAATCTAAAATGCCTTACAAATGTTTTATAAAGCTTTACTACTGCTTTTTAAAATTTAATTGTGTTTGTGTTATTGGTTTGACAGTTCTGGAAACCCTTAAGTAATGAACTGCAGGGGTCTGAACCATGCAATACGGTTGAGCAAACCACAACCCCGGGCAACTTGAGTCTGGGCGACCGAACTCATGAGTGACTTCATGATCACTGGATACTTTTATTGAACATGGACTGACATCAGCATATGATCCAAACTTTGCAGTGAAACTTGAGTTTGTATCATAATGCTGACACCATCCATGTTTGATAAGAGTACATACCATAGAAAAGGGACCTCAATTTGCTAAATTCAAAATGCTTCTTATAGAATAATGATAAAATAATAAGTCCTAAATAGAACTCAGTTTTTTTCAGAGTTACCTATTTCTGTCTCAGTTATTCAGAATAATTCTGAGGTCAAAATCTTTTTTCAATTTCTTTTGAGCCATTGTGGAACAATGCAGCATAAAAATAAGATTGTCCATTATTTTTACAATGCATTTCGTCCCGTTACAATATTTTCCCATTTCAGACCACGTTTCATTCCCTTAACAATAAGATCCTTTGTATGAGTTTTATTCATGTGTTTTTTCATGCACAACCGTTAAACAAAGAAATTGTACTCTAGGGAATGACATGTGGTCTGAAATGGGAGAACATTACACCTAGACGAATAGGACGTTTGCATGATGGTGTCACTTGACTCCAGCTACCAGAATCCCTTGCGCACTTTTTTTGTTCAGTTAATTAGCACCAATTGTCTCACTATTCTCATGAGAGAATAAAAATTTGAATCAAAAGAAAATTCGCGAAGCATTATGGTAGTGGGAGACAAATGGTGCCATCTTGCAAACGTCCTATCATATTAGCCTTTTCGTGGAAGCAGAACGCGTTGCATCATGGGGGTGTTTTAGTTGACGTTTTAATACTCACGACATGTGAAAAACGTCTGCGCATGCTCTGAATCCGTATGCAAATTAGTCAAAACATAAGTAAATTTGACTTGCCTTATAAATTGGACTTCACAGAATGCCAAAACTTAGTGCCCATGCTTGAAACTTAAGACTAATTCTTTCATATTGTATTTGTTGATACAGTATCTTGGTCTAACAAAAGTATACTCTCGAACTTTTTTGTATACTTGGAGAAAACAAACATTTATTTTCTCAATCGAACTCTTCAAAATTCTTAGAAAACGTGCTGAAGTGCACGCATGCGCAAACGTTTTTCCCTGGTGTCAATGCTAGCAATGTTTTGTATTCTTGTTGTTTCCAATTCATGGAGGAACTATCATTTTCCGACACATACTAATCTTTTTTTCTATTAAATTGAAACCTTAATTTGCAATGTTTGTCGGCATTTCGATCCCACAAGGCTTTGTGATGTCTATTTTTAGTAACCGTGAGCAATGCTATTCTACGAACTCCGGAAAAGCTAATTAATTTTTTTTTTCGCTCTCCTTAGGTACTTCTTACTGGACTTTGATATCAGTGACAAGCATTTATCTCAGCTCGGAAAAGAGCTAAAAATGGATCCAGATGTCATAAGACCTCGAGTCGTGAAAACCCAAAGTAGATACGATTCTAGAAAACACGAACACCCTTTGTTAGAATGTTGGAAGAGTTACAATCCGCCAAACGCTGTCAATTAAAGTCAAGAAAAATGCTTTGCCAACTGTTTGTACGTGGTTATATTTCATAGGCATCATTGGAATGATATTTAAAGTTTTTAATAAGTAAAGGTCATCCAAGTTTGAACATGCATGTAGTCTTGATATGGTTTGTTACTTATTTCATGTTGACAGGTTTTTAATTGGTCCGGCTTGAAATGATTAATTCATCTGTGATAGCTCTGACTCGAAAAGAAACGAAATTTTTCAGTTTTGAGTCAAGTGTTCGTTAACTGTCTCAATATTATCGGTTCTATCCTGTGAGTTTTCCTACAATTATTTTAACAGTCAATACTCAGTATTCGAAATGAAAAGAAATTTTTGAGTCAACTGTTCTTTAACTGTCTCAGTATTATCGGTTCTATCCTGTGAGTGTTCCCACAATAATTATTTTAACAGTCGATACTCAGTATTCGGAATGAAAAGAAATTTTTGAGTCAACTGTTCTTTAACTGTCTCAGTATTATCGGTTCTATCCTGTGAGTTTTCCTACAATTATTTTAACAGTCGATACTCAGTATTCGAAATGAAAAGAAATTTTTGAGTCTACTATTCTTGAACTGTCAATTTTTTATGTTGTTGCCACTCGTCGCTTGATAAGCTTTTATCGGATATTCTTAAATTAGTACAAAAATGTTCATAGCTGGAATACTTCCCATCCGAATATCAGGAAAAAACTTTAACCAGTGATTATTAGACCTTTAAGGGTTATTCCAGTAAAGTTTCAGCTGAATTCGGACAATTTACGTGCTAGTCCTCCTATAAGTTCAAAACTCAAAGATATAGATTTTTGAAAAGTGTGAATTCTGTGAGAAAACCCTTCGCCTGGAGACGAGATGGCTCCAATGAATGTTTTCATGCAAAATTTCGATTTTTGAATATCCATATTTATACAATTTTGAACAGTTTTTTACAATTAGTTCTAATGTGCTCTTTCTAGGCTCGAGAGTGGGTGCCCCTTGGCCTGGAAATCTATTCTTCACAGTATTATCGGTTCTATCCTGTGAGTTTTCCCACGATAATTATTTTAACAGTCAATACTCAGTAAGGTTGACTTTAAAAGACCACTACAACAAAGCCAAATGTCCAGTTCCAAAAATTTAGAAATGGAAAGGGCCTTGGGGCTAAGGATCAAGTTTCACGGAAAATAAAACAGTCAATTGAAGCTCCACGAAATGAGCCAACAAAACCTAAACAAAAACTAAAGTAGCATAAACTCGACAGTTACTTTCCGCGTTTGACGTCAAATATATTATTTTCGACTTCATTTAAAACAAAATTTGACATAAGCGGAATATAAGGCATGACGGGTTTATTAAAAGGGCCAGATATGATCCTTCCTTGTTGTTCTTGCAAGCAAAATAAGGGATTAAAAAGGCTAATTATTAAATATAACACACACGTCGACCAATGTTGACTTGGCGTCACTATAACTGTCAAAAAGGGAGTTGTTTGGTTATATCCTAATATTGATGTCAGACATTTGGAATGTAGCCTGACAATGTTTTCAGAAATAGTTTTGCTTTTATCATGATTAAAAACATTCGAGTTTTCTCATAATGTTTGCTTTAATAATATAAAGCAATTAGACTGAACTTTTGGGTCAATTAGATTATAGAGGCTTTGGACCATCACGTGATAGCTGGCATGACAGGAGGCACAACAATTTCTCATGTAAAACAGATTGTACTAGATTCAATGAACTACTTACGGCGGCCATCTTGCCGGGGGCAAAACGAAACAAATGACCGAAAACGTTCGACTTTTTCGCGTGTTCGTCTTTCTTTTATGGATTACAGTGATTGAGGTGCCTTCTTAATTCATTTCTGGTTGTATTCTATTGTGAGGAGCTGTTAATATCAATCGACGTCATTACTCCGAGTAACAAAGCTTTATTTGCCCCCTTGACGCCCCATAATAATTTGCGATCCAAGATGGCCGCCGTATCTTTGAAGTAGCCCATTGTTCCAGCCCCCTGTAAATGGCGACCATTATCACGTGATTGTTTAAAGCCATCAGTTTTTCAGTTACGTCATTTCTAAGTCTACAGATCAGTTATAGGAAAGGGAGAGCTTAGATAGCAAGCAGTGGATGTAGTGTAGTCATAAAAATACGATGAATCACACCTAATACAATAGATAGAACGACAATAGATTAAGATAGATTTTCTGAATACATATTACATTAACTGAGTGCTATCTTTGTTTGCAGCGCCCTTATTTCTTACTGCGCATGCTCGCAATGAACAAAAAGAACAATTAACTTGGGTCATGGAAATCCGTGAACAGACCTACTCATGGTCTTTTCGAAGTTTCTCGTGCAATATATACTTGATTGGGCTTCATTATGTCAAGTAAGGATGCCTTACACGGTCTGGCAAAGCACCGTGAAAAAGCCCTAACCGGAAATATCGTTTTGGTACAATTTCCGATGAGGAAATTGAAACAATGAAAGTAAATGCCATTGCTATCAATACTAAAAAGGCAACGAAGTATGGCCTAAAAGTTTTGCTAAAAGTTTTGCGTGAATTTGCCACGCAAACTAAAAGTTTCTGTTTGTTTGTTCTTATTGAATTATTGTATATACGTATTTCAATAAAGTCAGTCACCTGAAAAGCTGCAAAGATCAGCCCAACAAGGATTATGGGTAGATACATTTTACATGTTTCAACCGCTTGATAACTGTTGATGGACTTGCACATCTTCTATCAATATAGTCTCACCCTCTACTGAGCATCCTTAAAGCTGCAGTTTGTATCAAAAAAGGTTTACTTGTTTGATATTAAAAGTTATCCAGGATCCTCAGTGATCTCAGCTTTCTAGGTTATTTGGTGACTAACTTTATTGAAATAAGTGTATAAAAATAAGTTACTCTGTACACAAGTTGGTATATGCTAAAACAATTATTCGCCTCAGGCTCAGTGAGTATGGAGAATATTTACCTCGCCGCTCGAAGACTCGCATCTTGGTAAATATTCCCCGATATTCACTGAGCCTGAGGCGAATAATTGCTAAATATAAAATGAAGTAAAGCTAAGGACAAGAAATATATACTAGAGGCGTCAGTGACAGCAAACAGCAGTGATATTAGTGGATCGGCATTTGGAGCAAACGGTTTTATAAGATCTGATTGATACGATCAGGGTCAAAAGCGGAAAGCAAGAGAGAAGAATAGTGAGATCGCAGCAATGTTTTAAAAGACAAAACTGAATTAGAAGACTTAATCATAGAGGGCAGCGAGTACCACAAGAAAACAGTGCGATTGAAAAAGGAATCCCTGTAGGTATATGTTTTGCATGAATTAACCCTATAGTCTGTAATGACAGTGCTTCTAGTAGATCTGGATGAAAGCGAGCATGGAGTAACATAACTAGATAGATCAATATTATTAACCTTAAGCGACGCTTGAAAAAGTATAGGAGATATCCCACTTCAAATTAGGAAAAGTTCTTCAATCCAATTATTTAAAAATGAACTGAAAACTCATTTGTTCAAGAACTTTGTCTCCTCTGGTTCAAAGTGAACATCAATGAACTATGACAATTCATTAATATTGTAACATACGTCTGGTATTTATTTTGTTTCTTATTGTGAAGCGCCATGAATTTTGATATGTGCGCTATATAAGTTCCATTATTATTATTATTATTATTATTATTATTATTATTATTATTATTAGATCTTAATTCTAAAACCAGTAAGATAGTGGCAATAGGTTGAGTTTGACAAGCCTGTCTTTGTAAGATAGATCTGATTGGTACTTGAGAATACATTTTGTGGCGCGGCGCGGGACACGTTCGAGGAGTAAGATTTCTCGTGAGCTCACAGGTAGCCCAAGCTTGGTTTCTGTGGTGTCCTGTTATAAGGATATGTATGGGGAATCATCAAAAATTTCAATAAAATCATCAAAACGTGAAATAAAGCCTCGA